AGGTGCTTGCTGCCTCCTTCATTAGGGTGAGCACCTCTGAAACGTCGGCAAAATTTCTATAACACTACACAGCGCAATATCGTCGCCGTAAGAACCTCAAATTTCACCCAATATCACACAAAATGTATTTACGTTGTAGCCTGTAATTCATAATTTATTAAATTATCCAAGGCTAAACTGCCTCAGCCAAACAACTTTCATTATCGTATCTCAGGCTTACACCATTGTCTTGTTTCTTGAAACGAGTCGCTACTACAAAAATGTTTGTACAGATGGCAGGCCAATTATCGCACAGACTGCCATCTATTGGATAATGGTATTTTTAACGCAGGGGCCACCGTAAAAGTTCTGATCTTAGCTGATAGGTGGCAGACTGTACCGTCTCTGGTCTGCCATCTGCATTTTCTTGTGCTAATGATTCGTACCATAACACAAGACAATGGTGTAATCCTGTTGTTTGGCTGAGTCGGTTGACCTTTGGGTAATGTAATTCACATACAATGAATATAAGAAAACATGATTACTGCTGTCTGCATTATTTGTCATTTTAATATAAATATAGCTCATTATACCAGGATTTTCATGCAGTTCAAGTATTGTGATAAAATTTGGACTAAAACGTATCGATCACAGCGTAGTGTAGGCTCCAACCGAACAAACGAACTGAAATTGCAAGAAGTCTGAACCAGGGTTTCTTTTACCTTATGGCTCACGAATATATTTTTGTGTCAAAAAAGTTACTGGCGAAAGTGAATGTTTTATTTTGTTACTAATTAATAAAAATTGCCTTCTATAGACCACGATACGTTTATTGCCTACGACGACAGTTCATGGATGAAAGATGAATGGAACTATCCCGAACGGCAGAATCATGGAAACGGTTACAGTGGATTGCCTTGCCCTTTACCGACTGAAAGTAACTGTAAATAATTATGTTAATCAAATGCACCATTCATCTCAAAAATGCACGGAAAAAGCAAATTTTCATGTGGAGAAACAAATCTCAAGGCGTCACAGAAATTATTTCCAATTTAATTTGTTCTTCGCACACAAATATAAAAGAAACAAATTAAAATAAAAAAAGTAAAAATGTTTCCGCCCGGGATCGAACCGGGGACCTTCCGCGTGTTAGGCGGATGTGATAACCACTACACCACGGAAACGCGTTATGTTTAAGCACTTCGAATACTGAAGACCTTCAAAGTATAAACGTTTTCTTCAATATAAATCAGTCTATAAGTAAGTTTAGTTCACCACGAGAAACATAAGGACATTTCAGTTCTCTCCAAACATTTATATCTGCGAGCTATACGCTACGTTTCCCAACTAACGCGTGAAATTTCCCCGGTTCTAACCCTGGAATATTTCACCGTGTGGACTTCTAGGTAGGTACCATTGTTTCAAAGGAACATAGCGTCATCTTCAGGGCGGAAGATGGAGACAGTACGTTCGTACAAAATTTTACTAAAGCAACAAAATTTTAAACAGTAACAGCCCGCACGGCGAGACTCTTGACCTCGTAGGTATATACTATATCTGACGTAGGATTGATTGACAACTATAAGATTTTACTTAATTAAATAAACAGTACGCGCGAATCCTTTTTTGGCGTAAATACGTCTACACGGAAGGGTCATTCGGCAAAAACAGAGTTAAAAAAATATGTAAGATCCCAACAATGTGTAAATATGGACCGACAATGGTCAGCTTTT